TTACCTTAGGACCTCCTTGCCTTGAACATATTTGGCCAAACCACTTGACCTCTGAGGACAGCAATTTGAGAACCATGGACCATAATCCACCTTATTGGATTTGTATATTGCTGAAGTTGGGGGTAGCTTTAGATCAAAGTCCAGTCCTTTGGTTTGTTTGCTTGTTTGTTTTTAAGGCTACATCCTAGCAGCAAAATAAGGTGGTTGCTCAGTTAGTCTTAGTTATAATGCTGTGTTGTAGTCAAGGGTTTGGGTTTCTGGTGAGTAAGACGTTATGCCAGTTATTTTCCATCCAGGTGTGTTATTTCACCCCTGGTGAGTGTGGTGAGCCGCCTTTTACAGGCAGGAAGTTCTAGTCATGCAACCTCTGTGCAAAACTTATGAGTAACTGAACTATGAAATATACTTAATATTCACACTGGTATAAATTTTATAGATAGATAAGTAATGTAAATTATCCTTGACTTTCAGGTAAAGGAAAAGTGCACCACACTTTCCTCTTCTCCCTGCACACATATTCTCAACCACTTCATAAACTATCCACAGGGTGATGTGCTTAATTACAGCTTCTGCTTCTCAGAGCTGAACACAGTGGCTCTAGTTCCTGCTCTTGTACTAGTGCTTTTTAGAGTAAGAAATAAAGGCTTCTATCTTGGGCCATCTATGCAGAGATCTGTATGTATTTAAATACATTCTAAACTGAATTCACACAAAGGACAAAGAATGAGAAGCACAACTGTACATGGGTGGGGAGAATGAAGTAAAGGAGTTCCTTTCAGCTCTATAAACCAAATCCATGGCTTTGAACATGCCAAGCACCCACTCCTGAGCCTTGCTGGATAGTTCCTATGGAGACACAGCCATTCCCAAAGCTCCCCGCCTACATAGTACAGTCTGCATAGACTGCTTAACCATCTTTGCCCCTCACCCCAGTTTTGCTGTGCTGGCATTTGAACCAAGAGCCTCACACACAGAAGGGCACATGCTCTGCCACTAAGTTCTCTTCCTAGCTCTGTTACCATCCTTTGACTAGGATCCCTGAAGGTGTTTATATTCCTAGTGGGAAATGTTCTTTAAAAGTTCACCCCTGAAAACACACACACACACACAAGGAACATTATATAAACTGAGCAGGTTGTATTTATGTATTTAAGAAACACATGAAAAATGAGGCCATGAATTTGAAAGGAGAGAATAAAGAGAAGGGAAATGATGTAATTATATTACAATCTCAAAAATATAAAAAAAATAAATAATAAAGATTTGGGAATGATTGCTGAATGACTTCCAACCTCCCCTACAGAACCATAAGCTGCCATTCCTTAGACTTTTCTCTTGAAAAGCCCAAAAGCCTTCATCCTCTCTATAATCAATTTTAAAAATTTTATACAAGTTGGACTCCAGAGCAAAAAGGGAAGTCTTGGAATTCCACACAGACTTACACCTGGGACAAAATGTTTGTTTCAATAATGGTGAGCCTATGGACTTGGTCCTACAGACTTAGCAAGAACAAAGTCTTGAGGTTGCTTCTGGGAAAAACATAATCCTGAAAATACTCTTTCAAAGTAGATTTTTTTCTATGTCTTAATTAGAGTTACCACTGATGTGATAAAACATCATTATCAAGGGCAACTTGGGGAAGAAGGAGTTTATCTGGTTACACTTCCAAAGCACTATTCATCATTGAAGAGAGCCAGGACAGGAACTCAAACAGGGCAGGAACCTGGAGGCAGGAGCTGATGCAGAGGCCATGGAGGAATGCTGATTACTACCTTGCTCTCCATGGCTTGATCAGCCTGCTTTCTTATAGAACCTAGGACTCCACACCAATCTCTAATTAAGAAAATGCCCTACAGGCTTGCCTGAAGTCCAATCTTATGGAGACATCTTCTCAATTGAGATTCCCTCCTCTCAGATGACTCTAGCTTGTGTCAAGCTGACAGGAAATTAGCCAGCACATTCTAAAAGAGACAAAAGCAGAGGGAAAGCTGTCTGACTCCCTTGTCCTAGCGATGTTGGGGCAGAAGAACCTTCCAGCATATTCTCTGAGGCAGTGAGCACTGGAATCTATATGGAAGAAGCTCACACAGCTTCAAGGCCTACAGAGGAAGGCAAATGTGGCATTAACATTAACATGTTCTTCCCACAGGAAAATTAGGGCAGCCACAATCCCAAGCATCAGCAGTGCATAGATGGTATTACAGGCATGTTTCTAGAGAGCTGAGAGCAATCTGGCTCAGATTTTTGCCAAACTGTCAAGAGATCCTCTATTTCCTTTTGTTAACACTTTAAAATCTGGTAACTGGGCCATATACTACCAATGTGTCACCATCCTGCACAGCTCCTGAGTCCCCTTCTAACTAGGTTTCCTGTACCTAGCCCTGTCGATTCCCAGTTCTCTCTTCCATTTTATCATACTGCAGGTCATGGAATGCGAAGTCTGTTCTCAGCGTTGTTTCCCAGATTTGTGCTGTGTATTGACACCATCCCACATGCTTTCTATGGCATATCATGCTAGAAATATAATTTCATGAGAAACACTGGGTCAAAAAGTCTCTACATCTCCTTCAATTTTCTACAGCCAATAAATTGAAGGCAAGAAATTCAAACTCAAGTTTGAGGTCTGTATATATTCTACTGTCTTACATGGGAGTTGCAGGTAGAGATGTGTGTGTGTGTGTGTGTGTGTGTGTGTGTGTGTGTGTGTGTGTGTGTGCCTATGTGTGTGTGTGTGTGTGTTCCTGTGTGTGTGTGTCTATGTGCCTGTTTGTATGTGTATGCCTGTGTGTCTGTGTGTATGTGTGTGCCTGTGTGTCTGTGTGTATGTTAGGGTAAAATGGTTTTTCTATAGCTCCAGGCTGCTACATGGCATTCTTCCTCAGTTTTAGCTTCTGAAAGTTCATGGCTATTATTTTCTAATACTTAAACTTCTATATATAGTTGTGTGTGTGTGTGTGTGTGTGTGTGTGTGTGTGTGTGTGTGTGTGAATAGGTTTTCTGTCCCTCAATAATAGGTTTCTCTGATAAACACAGTGAGCTGGATCAAGTTGAATTGGAAAAGTATATAAACAGGTTTATTTGAACAAAGCAACTTCCAAGCAGGTTCTTAAGTCCCAGAGATTGAGAATCTGTGGGCCCAAAGTAAAGCAGGGGGATGATACAGGTTGTAGGTGACGGGTGATGATGTGTCTGCCACAAGCTGGATTTGTGCCCAAGTATGGTCAAAAGCTGAATGCTTAAGCAGGGACTTGGGCAGCTGGAGGCAACAGGGGAGGAAGTTGTAGTAGTCACCAAGAATGCAGAACTGGGCTTTTTGGTACCTTTCATTTGTTGGAGATTTTCTGAGAGGGTGGGGTATAAGACAAAGTGCTAAATGGTCTTATTAACAACAACAACAAACAAACAAACAAACAAACAAAAAAACGGTAGCCAGATATTGGGGTTAAAACTGAGAGATCAGAAAAGCAGAAAGAAGCCAGCCACATTCTCACCACTTGGAGATCCTCAGCCAAAGGGACCTACTTCCTGTATACCCACACCTATATGCCTTTCTGTCCTGCCATCTCATTTCCTCTCTTCTCCCAGCTACATCACTTCCTCTTCCTGCTCAGTTCTGCCACTTCCTGCCTGTCTGTACAGACTTCCAGACCTTTATGGTTAGTCCTGGGATTAAAGGTATGTACCACCACGCCTGGCTCTGTTCCCAGTGTGGCCTTGAACTCACAGAGATCCAGACGGATCTCTGTTTTCCAAGTGATGGGATTAAAGGCATGTGCTACCATTGCCTGACCTCTATGTTTACTAGAGTGGCTGGCTTTTTCCTCTGATCCTCAGCTAAACTTTACTGGGGTACACAGATAAAAATATCACCACAGTGAGGTTTGGAGAGGGAAAAATAGGAATGAAGCTTTCCAGATCATGTAGGGGTGAGCTAGAGGTTCCAAATCAAATATGTGTATGTCAGGTTTAGGAATTTCATGAGCTATTTATATCTCAAAATATATTTCAGGAGCCAGAAAAGACTTGTAGGTTGCAAAATAAGGATACTTCTAAAACTTATGTCAACAGCATTATCATCTCATTACATTAAAAGTGTTTTGATAGCCAAACGACAGACACAAACTCAGTAAAGGACTGCCAGATCCAAAAACAAAAGGTGGTTTTTATTTTTTAAATGTAGTAACTGAGCTCTCAAGAAGTTAAAAACTAAAGTAATTTCCTCAAATAACACATTGACTCTAGCAGAGTCAGACTTAGAAGAAAACAATCCTGAGAGCTCCTTCGATTCCTTTAATCATTTCCAGCAACAATTAGGCGATCCTATCCTGTGACAGTATTATTGATGAAATGGGCTGGGATGAAGATATATAAAATAATATATAAAATATCCACATATAAAACTATCTCATGGAAAAAATAATATCTGTGGCAAAATGGAAAGATGGAGACATAAGGTATCAATGCAGCCATGTGCCTTTGCACAGCCTGCCACTCCCAAGGTCACAGCAAGGAAAACAATGATGTCTCTCCACCTCCATCCCGACCCCAGAAAGAGATGCTTGCTTGATTTTGCATATGAGAAGTTTAGAGAGCTATCTGCTGGGTGTGTTTGCACCCACCTCAGCAGTCTACATGAGAGTGAAAGGGGGTAACTCCCATGGGAGCAAGGACTAGATGGTAGTATTCGCCTCAATTGGATCCTATTTACTGTTCTGTCAATGTAGCAGCCTCCTTGTGCTTTCATGATGAAAAAGTTCATTAGAATCTAGAATGCTATAGAAAAACAAAGCAAGCAACCACACAGACCTGTATGGAGTACATGATTCAAGGGGACCACAGAAGTTCAGGAGCCTACATGCTGATGTCGTTCACAATTAATATAATTATTAATCCCAAAGCTCTCTGGCATATGCATGCATGTGATTATAGCATCATCTATACTACATAGGTAATCAGATTTCTGAGATGTATGTTTCTGTATGTAGAAAGTAGCAACCTACTTGAGAACTTCAATTTTCTTCTCCATTTTCCAAGGTTTGCATTTGACAGTAGCAATCATTTGTCTATTCTCATCTAACTGTGCCTTCAATCGTTCTAATTCCTCTTCATCAATTTCTTCTTCTTCTTCCCTTTAAAAGAAAATGAAGGGTTAAACTTTGCTTCATCTCCAAACTAAAAAGGCTCCTGTTAGATACCCCAACCCTTTTTCAAACTCAGCTGCCCACAGTCAATGAGGAGTCGCCTAAGCACTAGAATTCACATTTCAACACTGACGTCCATCCGGCTTGGGGATTATTATAACCTTCAACAATGCTATTTGCATTCTAATGCTCAAAATGGAACTGTTCTTTTATGTCCTCAGCCTCCAGCTGTCAGAACAGGGAAGCTGTGGAAAGGATAGTAACAGATCCATCAAGATACACACTTCTCTCCTCTGTTCCCCTTGGCAGCCTGCCTCCCCAGTTCTATGTTTCATTTAAGAACCTTATTTTTCAATAGGGATAATAAATTAAAGGTGAAGATGTCTTTGAAGTGTCCTTAGAAATTTTAAATTAGTCCTGTCTCAAGAGAAAAGCGGAAAAATTGAAACAGGGAAAAATGAAACTCTGCTTCTCAGAAGAAGCCTAATCTGTTAATTACACCCCAAACTTCATTTGATAAAATTTAACTTGAAATGCTTTTGGTGGAAGCAAATGCTTTGAAGACGCCTTCAAAGGGATTTTGCTTCTCACTAAGAAGATGCCACATTCTCTCTGGTGTGATCCTACCGTTGCAAAACTGGAAGCTAAAGGAAACAAAATCTAAACATGAGTCACGTGGTTTTAGTGGAGCAACCTAATACTATATTATAGAAATCAAATTGTTGGCAATAGATTGTTTTAATTATTAGGCTAATGTCTCAATTTTAAATACACCCTTTCATACTTAATATCATGGTACTGAGACTGGGACTCTGTAACTCATATTTTTGCTTTGTAAGCAGAGTCTATAGCATGAATCTTAAAGAGTCTTTATTAATAAAACAAACACGGAGCCAAGTATTGGGGTGGACACTGGAAGATCAGAGAGACAAGAACAAGCCACAGCTAACCTCCTCAGCTGATCAACTTCTCAGCTGATTTTGTTTCCTCAGACTGGAAACCTCTGTGTCCTCATATCTGAATGGCTCTCAGCTGAACTGTGCTGTTCAAAACCTAAAAGCTTAACCAGTCAAATGTTTAACCAGCCAAATGCTTCTGGATCCTGGTCCTCACACCTTATATACCTTTCTGCTTTCTACCATCACTCCCTGGGATTAAAGGCTCACTTTCTGGGATTAAAGGCGTGAGTCACCATGCTTGGCTGTATCCTTGAATAGATGGATTTCTGCCTCTGGAATGCTAGGATTAAAGGCCTGTGCTACCACTGCCTATCCTAAGTATCTAGTGGCTTTTCTGTTCTCTGACCCCAGATAAGTTTATTAGGGTACACAATATTTGGGGGAAAACAATACCACCACAAGAGTCAACTTTATATTCAAACCGTAGCAGTCACTAAGTACCTCCATCCTTTGCTTGGCTTCCTGTCTACTTCCATTTGCTGCCTAGACAGACACTTCTTCCTTGGTAACACTTTACTCCCGAAGCTGAATGGCCCTCCCTCCCACAGCTGGAGATGTGTCTATTCTGTCATTTCTCTGAATCTTAGCAGAATTAGCTCTCCCTACCCCCACCCCACCCACCCCCACCCCCTCCACCCCCCACTCCCCATCCTACCCCCCACCCGTGGAACCAGCACTTCTGTGCCTTAGTCCTCTATGGAACTTCAGGCTTCAGCTCCCCGATCTCTCTTCTACTCTTCATATTTGCATTTTAATCCTTTCCAGGGTTCCAGCTCATGAATGCTAGCTGCCTTCTGCAGGTGTTGCCATCATAATTCACTTCCCGGCTTGCTCCTACCAAAGACCTAGTTTCCAACTCTTTTATTTATAACCCCTAACAACTCTCATATAAAATTCTCAGCATTCAATTCGCTGTTGAAGTTTCTCTCCTCACTAGACACAGACTGAAAAAGAGATTGTAAACTATTCATTATTATTGAAAAACATATTTTATAGTTCACTAAGCTTATTACTGGATACAACAGGAATATGGGGGAAAGCTATTTTTAAATTATTAATCATAATGTAGGAGGACACATTTGCAGATTACAGGCCAGGCTAGAAAATGACTTTGTAATCTCCTACTTGTTGTCAATATATAGTTTCTAATCATGCCTTTATTCCTCAAATAAAAATTCAGATTACCCCTATAAAATATCACCTTCTAGTTGCTTGTCAACTCAACACACTTAAGAAGAGGGAACCAGCCGGGCGGTGGTGGCGCACGCCTTTAATCCCAGCACTCGGGAGGCAGAGCCAGGCGGATCTCTGTGAGTTCGAGGCCAGCCTGGGCTACCAAGTGAGTTCCAGGAAAAAGCGCAAAGCTACACAGAGAAACCCTGTCTCGAAAAACAAAAAAAAAAAAAAAAAAAAAAAAAAAAGAAGAGGGAACCTCAGTTGAGGAATTGCCTCTATCAGATTGGCTTGTAGGCATGTGGGTTAGGCATTTTCTTGATTCCTACTTGATGCAGGAAGGCCCAACCTACTGTGGAGGATGCTGACCCAAATCAAGAAATCCATAGAGTCTATTAAATGAACAAAGGAATTATTGGAGGGTAACTCACTACAGCACAGGCATTTATCATAGAGTCCAGGAAAGCCGAGCTATGTCCCATGCTGATCTTATTCGAAGATCTGCCTGGTCAGTCCCAGCATCCAAGCCACAAGGGAGTGAAGAGAGCACCATGTACCTGCATCCCAGTTCTTAAGGGTCCCCCCCCCACCAGCAACAGCCATGCCCCAGGGCATGTACTTCGAGGTCATAGGCAGGTGGAGCAGTTACCTGCTGCATCACTAGGGGTAGTGCTTCAAGGTAATAGCTAGAACAGCTACCCACCACACTGACCCTTGGCAGATTTAGCTTTACCAGCCAGCCAGGGAGATAAGTCAGTAAACAGCTCTCCTCCATAGTTCCTACCTTTGTTCCTATCTGATTTCCTGCCCTGACTTCCTTCAAAGATAGATTGTGATGTGAAGGCTTAAACCAGTGGTTCTCAGCATGTGAAGCATGACCTCTTTGATGGCCAAATGACCCTTTCACAGGGATCACCTATCAGATATCCTGCTATCAGATACTGACATTACAATTCAAAACAGATTCAAAATGAAAGTTATGAAGTAGCAACAAGAGTAATTTTATGGTTTGGGTCACTACAACATGAGGAACTATATTAAAGGGTTGCAGCATTAGGAAGGTTGAGAACCATTGGCTTAAACTCTTTCCCTCCACAAGTTGTTTCTGGTCAGTGTTTTATCAGAAAGAAAACTAGGACATATATTTTGCTTAAAATAGCAATCTCGGTTCAAGAAAACTATATAAAGATACTCACTAAGATGTAATTCAGATTATCATTGGGTAGTTTCTTTTTAATTATTTAGTATTTATTATACAAAATTCTGTGATACTGTATAACAATGGCATAAAATACTTGAGACAATCTGATGTAGGTTGAGTTGGTTAGTCTTAGAAAGGTTAGAAATGTTTTCACAAAAATAATTGAACTTGTTTCCATGTAGCTTTAGATATGAACACAAATCATAAAACCTGCTTCGTTCAACAATAAAGAATGCTAGCAAAAGGAAGTAGATGTGTGGAACTCTCAAGAATAGAGTCAATTCACAATAAGAAAACTTTAAGATTAGTAACTTAATTATTTGATATTTCAAGCCTTTAGCTGACCCACTGTCTAGAATAAACCATGTGTACATTAAGTACAATAATGTACTACATTACTGAGTTCTACTATGAATCATATATAAGACAGTCTCAGTAAGGATAAAAGAATGAGCCAATCAATATACGAATAGCCTCAAAGCTTATGAATTTACATGCCAAATATAGAGACTATAACAGACTTTTCTGATGTAGCCCTGACTCTGACTTTCCAGAAACTTTTACTTCTATCAGCCTCCAAATACTTGGCTCATATTTTTTTCTTCAGCGTGTATATCCTAACTTATTTTATAATAATTTGTGTTTGAGTAGCTTCTCCCTTACCGTACTATAAATTTGAAGGTCTGCATAAATATTTATTGAAGAAATGCTTATGTATCAAACTTTCCTGAATAACATTGAGTACTCACCCTGAACCCAGTAATGGAATCAAAGTTACCTAGAACATAGCAATGCTCTACAAGGCTCCTATGACACGGGAAGATGTGCACCCCTACACTAAGTGACCCGAGACTTGTATATTTTTAAAGACTTCATTGTTAATTGTTGGTAACTCCCAAGAGGATCCTGCTGTGCTTCAGAGTGTGGCTGATAGACAAGTTACCTTCAAATACCTGAGCAACTGAAATACCACATTCATCGGCATTACAAGGAAACTGCTTATCTAGGAACCACTCAAAGAAAGAATATATATATATATATATATATATATATATATATGAAGCTCTATACACACACATATATATATACATGTATATATAATACATGTGACATATGCTCTACTTTCTAAAATTCAGAACTGCTCTGTGAAAGAAAGACTTTCTATCTTAAGCTTACCAACAGCTGTGAGGAAAAAGAAAGCACAACATACTGAATTTTCACTACTCTGAACGTTTTGCTTACTCGTTTAAAAGTGGGTCAGGAAAAGCCAGGGATGTCACTAGAAATACTCTACAGTGTCTAACAAGGCACTATGTGTTAACCATCACCAAAGATAACCATAGCATTACAGCCTTAGATTTCCTTGGTTTTAAATGTTTCTAAGGGTAAGGGAAACTCCCAAGGCTTTGCTTGAACATTTAAAGAAGAAAGATTCTGAATTAATTCACTTAAACCAATGTGTCCTCATTTGTCTCCTAATTTTCTTCAAAATACCTTTCAAAAGTATATTTTCCTTTTTAACAAAAGATTCTTATCTATAAAGCAAACAAAAGAAAATAGACCCTAAAATTTTAGTCAGAATGCTAACGCTAAATATGTAGAGTACTCTGGCTTTGGCAACATAATTTGAAAATTCTGTGGAGACTAAAGTTAGCTGTATGGAGCATTTGTGAGATGGGGAGTGACTACAGGATTCTCAGAACCAAAATGGAAGTGAGATCAACTGAGGTGAGACACTCTCATAGAAGAAGATCCAATTGATGAGCACAGACCTGTTTCCCAGAAGCTGGGCATTTTTGTTTTTGTTTTTCTGGTTTTTGTTTTTCAAAGTTTCTCTGTGTAGCTTTGGAGTCTGTCCTAGAACTTGCTCTGTAGACCAGGTTGGCCTTGAACTCACAGAGATCCACCTGCCCCTGCCTCCCGAGGGCTGGGATTAATGGTGTGTGATCAGGTATTTTATATGAAAGCCCTAAGTAGGCCAGGCAAGCAGAAAAATTCCAGCCCACTATATCTTCTTAGAAAGATTCTTTTCCTCAGGCATAAATGAGGAGGAAAAGCAAATTCTATTATGGAATCTGTATCACACTTGTGTACATTGATGATGTTTTCTTGATGCAATACCTCCTAAAAAGAATAAACTTTGCTAACAGGACACATTCCTGTATAATAGCACTAACCATCATAACATTACATGGGACTTGAAATTTGATTGCATTTTCATTTTTTTAAATGCTTGCCAAAAAATGGTGATAAAAATATCAGAGTTAAAATCTAAAGTAAATGATACCTTGGTATTCAAGAAGAAGGGAAAAGAAATAACAGTAGAAGGGAAATTCAAAACTTAAGCTAAAACGTTAAGAAATCTATCTGGTTACTTGTATTCTAAAAGGAAGTACAGTCTATTAGTACAAAGCTTTTCTCCCCTACCTGACAAATTTCTGTATGGTTTCATTAACTAATGATTATTTCTGGGGATAATATAGTAGAGTTATTGAATACTGAAAAGTATTATTTTGGGAGGACGAGGCGAGAACATTCCCCAGTAAGTAGAGGAGTACTGGATCTCACTGCCTGGTGGTAGTCCACAAAGCCCCATGACCTTCAAGTACAGAACAGGTTGGCTCTTTGCTTGAATCATAGAGCCTAGGTCTTCCATAATTAGATGTGTGCAGGCACACTTGCCCTCCCCATTTGCCATATGCAAATTTCTAGTAATCCAAAAAATAATCTTCTTGAGTCTTTTAAAAATAGCACTTACACGCATTACTCTCTACAGTGTCAGAAGTAAAAGTTGGGAGCAAAAGATGCTGATTTTTTTTTTTTTTAATATAAACATGAGCTGAGTGTGGTGGCTCACACCTTTAATCTTAGCACTTCAGAGGCCATCCTCGTTTACATAGTGAATTCCAGGCCAACCAAGGCTTACATAGTGAGACCCTGTCTTCAAAACAAGAACAAGCAAATGATACATGTGTGTGTGTATGTGTGTGTGTGCGTGCATGTGTATCCCCAACCTTCTATAATAAAAGCCAGCACACTTTCTTTCTATAAAATTCCTAGCAGTTAACATTTGAGCATTTGCATACTACATACAACTCTGTCTTGTACTCATTTTCTTTATTAATAACCCTATAAAACTGTAAAAAGTAGCTCTTGTACTAGATTTAGCCATATTTTGCCAACTACTTCTCCATAAGATAAAATGACCAGAGCTCATTCTTCTGGAGTTTTCTATATATTATAATTTTCAAATATTAAAACAACCATGATATTGTAACAACCTGTAACACTTTAAGTCTTGCACAGGAGAATTCTTCATAGTCCATTCTTAGTGTGCATTCATTTTAAAGACTATATTTTGGTATTTAAATATAGTTAAGTGGAGGAAAATGGCAGAATCAGATTAAGCCTGTCTAAGTAGAAGTAATTTTAGTGACTGATTTAAAGTCCAGTGAGTCCCACATAGAGCCATTTTCTTTCGTGTGTTTTTACATTATAATGCCACCAGCTATACAGGAGGAATAACTTACGCTCCTCTCCTCAGCCTCCTCCGCCTTTCTTTTTCTCTTGCTTTCCTTGTCTCTTCATCCTCTGGCTCAGGTTCTGGGTCGTCCTCCCTGATAACATCTCTGGTCCGTTTCCTCTTTGGTCTCAAGCTCTCTCTTCTTGGTAGTTTATCTTCTTCTTCACCTGACCACAGCAATTGATGTATCAGTAAGAAGCATCATAATGTGCCTGTTTTGCTTTTTAATAACTCTGCCACATACCAATGAGTGCGACAATCAGTTCACCACAATGTAATATGAAATATTATTTTACACACATATGCACACACACACACATACACACACACACACACACACACACACACACACGCACACCTAACTTAATTTGCTCTGTGGTTCATTTATTCAAATATTCAAATATGGGTCTCTCCATTGTAATTAATTCTTGCAGTTCCAGTCTTTATTTATTAAGATAAATCAATGACTTGGAGTTTAGCAATATATTATGATTTCTAAAACCATTCAAATCAAGCTCAAGTTTGAAGGCTACCATGTAACATATAATGTAGAATTATAAAGCATTGTGTATTTATTACTAGTTTTCCTAGGACAGACCAGGACTCACAGAAAATGTCTACACACCCAAAGAGTTTTAGAGAAATTGATTAAATCCTTGGAGTCTTCCTAGTTCAAATTATCCACCTTTTTTTTAGCATTTCAGTATTCATTTTAGGAGTCTGCTTAATTTGACCAGGGTGACAACAACTACTGGGTTTAATTGATTGTCCTGCTTTTGTCTCCCAAGTACCTGGGACTACATGTACCACACTTAACTCATCTTCATTGTTGACTCCAAATAATTCTTATTTTTCCATTGTTTAAAAAGATATCTAATTTCTGTATTTACTCGAATCACTGAGAAGTTCCACAGTCTTCAAGTAAGAGTGCTGTCTAATGGTTCTAGTGGGGCTCTTTAATACAAGTGCTTATGACACACTTTGAAATTGAAGAGGAGGAACATTAACTCATTACACAAGATCCACACTACTGACATACCTGAGAGACTAAAGAAAATTATTTCTGATGAATGTAGATGCAAAATTTCACAATGAAACATTAATGAGTTCAATGTAACAACGTAGTGAAATGACTGTGCACCATAACTAAGTAGGATTTATTAATAAGATATAAAGATGGTTCAATATGAAAAATTCAAATAATGTGACATTGCTACTTTGACAGAATGAAGGAGAAAGATCACATTAATAGGTATAGAAAAGCACTTAATAAAACATGTAGAAGCATTTTACGAAATAAGAATGTAAAGGTCTTATGTCAACATGACTAGTATGGTCAACAGTGAAGAAAAAAATCAAAGCTTTCCCTCTACCATCATGAGTAAGCCAAAGAAGCAAACTCTTGCAGCATAGTATTGAAAACCCCTTACTAGAACCAATAGGCAGCAAAAAAAGAAAATAAGAAGGAAAAGGACCTCAATTGAACAAAAGTAAACTATCAATTTACAGAAGACATAATCTTACATGTGGAAAACCTCAAGACTCTACAAACATTTGTTAGGATAAATAAATGAATCTAGTAAAAATATTCACAGAATTTACAAAGTCAATATTTAAAATTCAGTTGTACTTTTTTACACTAAGGATGAAGGATCTAAAAAGAAAATTAATAAGATAATTGTATTTAGGAGAGCCTGAAAAGGGACAAGGCACCCTTGAACACACTTTACTGAGGAAGTACAATACTTTTTATACACTAGAAATTTTTTTAAAAAAATGCTGATGAAGAAAGTTAAAGATGACACAAGAAGTGGAAAGATATATTACATCTGTGTCTTGAAATATTTATGTTATAAAAATGTCCATAGTAGTGTAATGCTCAATGAAAACTCAATTACAGTCTCAATATCATTTTTTTCAATAGAAAAGAAACTCTCTAAAAGTTCATATGAAATCACAAAAGGCCCAAATTAGGAAAAGCATTCATGATTAAAAATAACACAATTGGGAATCCTGCAAGCTACAATACAAACTTGTCAGGCAAGATGTATCCAGTGGTACAATAATGGCATTACTCTTATGGGTGTAACCATTTCCTGATTGGATTTGAGATCTGTTCCACAGGACGGATTTCCACAGGCCTAGTACCATATACCTGATCAAAAGCCCATGGCTGGGAAGTCTTAGGTCCTTGAAGGGTGGGAACCTACTACTGTTATCTTGCTAAACAGACATGTTTCCCAACTGCTTTCTAAATATATTAACATTGGTATCCATGGATTAAACTGCTCTAATCTTGGGCAAAGTCTTTTTTTTTCCTGTTTGTTTATTTTATTTTATAGTAGGCAGTAGGCAGTGCCAAGGTTCTTTAAGTAGTTAAAGTTCTAAGAATAAGTGTTCAGCCTTAAACAAATAGGACACCTATATTAGCCCCTTCAAGGATCATAGAACACTGCAGACAAGAGGAACAGAAAGAATGTAAGAGTCAGAACATAGAAAGAAGTGCTGTGAGAAGTGTATTCCTACACATAACCTGACTATTGTACCCATGAGCTCACAGCAACAGTGCTATCTGCACAGGACCTGCACATTCTATCATGCCTTGGGGAGAGAGCTTGCAAGGCCCTCGATAGGGAGTTATCGATAGTTGCTATTGGAAGAAGGATACTCATACATCTCAGTGATGTAGCTAGTACTAATTTTCCCTTGATCAATTAAATAATCCCCAACTGATGCACATGCAGGGAACTCCAATTGTATGTAGAAGATCACAAACAAAAATGACATCAAAATAGGGATGGAGGCTGATTGGAAGAGCAAGGGTTTCATTGAGAGATGGAAGAGGATATCCAAAGACAATGGGGAGAATGTTATCAAAACACATTACATATGTGTGAAATTAGAAAAGAATGTATAAAAATAGCAAAGTCATGTCATACTACTTAATTTCAAAATATAAATGTTTAGTAATAAAACTGAAATGTTATTGACATAAGAGTACATACATGTACCCCATTAGAAGGGAACAGAGAGCCCTAAGGTAAACATGAATATATACAGTCAAGTGACACTCAAAAACATTCCAAAGAATACAAAATGAGGTTATCAACAAACACTAGAAGAACTAGATAGATAGCTCTATGAAAAAAAGACTTAAACCCCTACTCTATATTATAACAAATATCAATTCAGAATGTATTAGACTTGGATATAAGATACAAAATTTTAAAATTCCAAAAATAAATTCTGGAAAAGTTTTATCATATTGATTTTAGTAATGCTTTATCGTGCATGACATCAAAAGTACAATCAATAAAAGAAAAAATAGTTATTGGGACAGTTGGGAGCCAAGCAAGGAAGGTGCCCTTAAGGGCAAAGCCCTACATTAATACTACTTCAATATCTCCTTTTCCTATGGTTTCAGCTAAAACCATTTTGGAGAAAAGCACTTTAGTATACCAAGAAGTATTTCTGTTAGTCATCTTTAGAATGCTTGCTACACATGGCTGGAAATATTTTTGTCATATGCCCACGAACTTGAGCTAATCATGCCCAAGAATGTGTTGACTATTTTTCCACCTTGATTTATAATCTTAAACTGAGCATGCTCCAGAATGTATAACATAAACTGAAGGTGCTCGAGATGTACTTACTGCCTCTAAAAAGCTGGCTGGCCTTGAACTCACAGAGATCCACTTGCCTCTGCCTCCTGAGTGTTGGGTTTAAAGGCATGCTCCATCACCCCCTGTTGTTCATATTCTTACATTTTATATCCATAACCTCAACCAACCCAGAGTTAAAAATATTTAGAAAATTGTCTTTACTGGATGTACAGATTTTTTCTCACCAATGTCCCCTAACAATGTACTATGTCCAGAGTGTTTACACTATCCTAGATATAATACAAAAAATTTAGAGATTATTTAAAATACCATAAGGCTGTACACAGGTGACAAGTCATGACATTTTATAAAAGGCTCTTGTGCATCTTCAGACTTTGGGTCTCTTTGGAATCCTGGAACCAATCCTTGTAGATACCCAACAACCACAGTACCTGGTTGTACACTTTACAAGAACATTGACAGGATAAATATCTTATTATATGTTCTTACAACAATGAAAATAGGTAAATAAAGATACTGAAAATGTAGTTTACCAGTTTGACCTAATTAGCAAATACAGAACAATCGATCTACCTAAGGAAGACGTATTCAGGAAACATTGGGTACCCACCAGAGTAAGACCCATTCTGAGCCATAAACAAATGTCAGTGCATGGAAGTCAGGCCAGAGAGAAGTTAGGAAAGTGAAAATGAAAGTAGGAACTATTTGAGGAAAAAGGCTCCTGATAAAAGGCAGGTAGATGGGAAGCTGATGAACATGTGTATTGAAACATCATAGTGAAACGCTTTTTGTATAATCAACAAAATTAATAATAAAATCTGAAAAAAAAATCAAAATTTGGGAGTAAATATGACCAAAGTACATTGTGAGCATATATAAAATGTCACAATAAAACCTGTCATTTTGTAAAATTATTATATGATAACAAAGAGTTTGGGGCTAGGGATGCAGCTCAGGGAGCATGCTCACCCAGAAGCAGGAAGTCCTGGTTTGGTCCCCAGCATCACATCAGCAGGGCATAGTGGAACATGCCTGTAATACCAACACTTCAAGAAGAGGCAAGAGGATCAGAAGTTCAAGGTCATCCTCAGCTACATAGAAAGATCAAGGCCAGGCTGGGATGTGGTAATATTTTATTTGTGCTGAAATGTGGTGATATTTTATTTGTGTGTTAATAAATAAAGCTTGCCTGGAGATCAAGGGGAAAAGGCCAGCCATTTTAAGTAAACAAGAAGTCAGGTAGCACACGCCCTTAATCCCTTAGCAGGTAGGATCTCTGTGTGTTCAAGGCCACACTAGGGAACAGAGCCTAATGTGGTGACACACTCCTTTAATCTCAGTACCAACCCTAAAGGCCTGGAGGTTGTACAGACAGACAGAAAGTGACAGAGCTGTGTAGGAAGAGGAAGTGAGGTAGCTGGGCTAAGAAAGCCAATGAGAGGGCAGAACAGCAAGGCAATAAAGATGTGGGTAGACAGGAAGTAACTTGCATTTGGAAGCTGCAGAGTTGGTGAGGTAAGGTTGGCTGGTGGCTTTCCCTATTTCCCTGATCTGAGGCTTGTTTATTTACTAAGGCACAAATAAAATATCACCACACTGGGTTATATAAAACACTTTCTCTAATTTTATATGTACCATAGACCTGGTGTGAGGATGGAGGATAGGGAAAGTTCTGAAATAAATTTGCTTGAAATATTAATTAAAAAATCTATTCTATTAAATTTACATGCTTTAACAATGGGTAATAGATTATATTATTACAATTACTAGCTGCAATTTAGAATAAAAAAAAGACAAACTTTAGTACATTGTCCAGTTTCTAAATATCCAAATTGCAAGCAGGGGATGTTTAAGGTTGTCCATTAAATGACACTATTGAAACAGACTTGATTCTCATTCAAGCAATGACACCAAGATGTGTGAAGCCCCAGGCTGTTCATTAGAGGGGAAGGGACTTTTAGTCAGGGTACCTTTGGTGGTCTGCTTACTGTGTGTGAATATTAAATTGTCAGCCCAGTGTCCCTCAAAATGAACTCTTCCTGAGATGCTGCTCTTTCATTTTGGGTTTAAAAAATTCAAAGCATTTGCTCATATAATGATTTTTCCAATGTTCCTGCCAGTGACTGGCCAAGGTGCCTGGAAAGGGACTTGATTCATGCTCTTGAGCTGAGCCTAGCCAACGTGAAAACAATGTAGCAGTTCACACAACCCATCTAGAAACCGGGTACACAAGACAGACATGTTCATTCGTTTTAGTTGAATCTTCTGGTCAGACCAAACTCTCTCTCTCTCTCTCTCTCTCTCTCTCTCTCTCTCT